GGACCAATGATTTAAAAAAAAAGTTCTTGGAATTTTCCACCTTTTCCAGGATTCCACGTATTCCAGTCTCTCTCTTTCCTAGCACGTGGAGTACTAAATATATCTCAACATTAAATATCTCCCTTATTGATAAATACCTTTAAATATCTCCCTTATTGATAAATACCTTTAAATATCTCCCTTATCAATAAATACCTTCTGTTACATAGCTTGTGAGCTTATAATGAGCTTATAACCACCAAATGATGGAAGAACCTAAAATTGTTTGTCTGTTTTCCTGAAATTTATTCTGCTTCTAACTATGGTAATTGATAGAAAAATCATCTCCCATTTAATAACTTGGACGAGTTTAATGCACTTCAGGTGCATACAACAGGAAATCGCATTAATCCAATAACAGTTGTTGGGTAGATGGAGAAGTCAATACAACTGAAAATCACGATGAACAATAATGGGGTGCTTATGTGTTTCTCTGCTTGTGGGAAATTTAGCCAAGGAAATAAAATTACAAGGAAAAAGAAACAATTCTCATATGAGCTCTAAAACTTAGAAATCTTGACTTGGTACAATGCTTGAACAGCAACATCACAAAGAAGCCTATTCAGCAAGGACATACGACCAAAATATGGATTAGTTCATTAAGCTAACAAATAATTATAAGAGTATAAAAAATTCAAAAATGATAAAACCAATGACCCTTTCAGCGCCAAGTTAACTGGTTACAGGCCAAAAGGGCGACTTTATTACTTTCTTCCTTTGTTGACACAATTCAGTTACTTTAAGAGAATATATCATCGGGTTAGCCCAATGCCTTCTGACAACATCATAGCAAAGCCTGCAATTTAAGTAAGCAACCGATGAGTGTGCTTACATTCTTTAAGCAAAAAACGTTACAACGTACACTAGAAAGTAAATAATTGAAATCAATATGAGAGAGAAAAATGCTAAGGCACATAGAGAAATGAAGAAGAGAATAATGTACGAAATATGACGCGAGATAATAATCACACTTGCACTTATCATATTAAATAAATTTAAAGAGAATTACTACTAATTCTTATACTCAGATAAGATTTTGAAAAAAGTCACCAAATGAGAGATTAAACTTACAAATGTAGTGTACTATTTATGCACACATGGCTGTTTAAGTGATGAAGTAGAGGTGGCAAAGGAAAGCTCTTAACTAATGACAAAGGGGTAGAGTATATAAGTTGTAATTCAAAATGAGTGGTTAGGATTAAATTAGTAGTCATAAAGGAGTAGGATTCAATTCTGTGGCAGGCGGGGAGCATAAAAAAGTTTAACTATGATTTAAGAACTAGTAAAGAGACGGAGTATTAGGAAAGTAATTTTGGGGTCGTGAGACCAATGTGTGAGGTGGTGCTCCCATACAATCACTAGAAGGGAGGAGAACAATTGAAAATTGAATATCAACTTCTAGTTTTCACACGCCACTAAAAGCAATTAATTTGATGATATAGGAATACTAACAGGGTGTTTTGAATACATTATATTCAAAGGAAACAATTTCAATTACCATGAAATACCTGGTTACAGGGAAGGTGAATAAAAGAATTTCACCACAAATATAGACAGCAAAACGAGTCGGCATATTTAGCTCAAACAGGATGCATATATTCACAGGAGTATCAACTAGCAAATATGGTGAATTATAAATGACAGGCTAAGATACTTTACATAATGCATACTCAACATTCTCTTCAAGTAAAACACCATTATTGAAGACGAGAAGAATTCTAGCCTATCTCTTTGCAAGTTTTAATTAATGCATCTTAGATTTATGAATTTCAATACGTAATACAAAGCAGACTCCATCTTGATCTTTATGATGCAAATAATATGATATTACTTATCATGAAAATTGAAACAATTAGTATTCTAATTAAAGAAACATACTTATTTAATTTACATGACTTTTAATATATTTGTGATAATATTTCATACCTATCATGAATTTATGCATCAAGAAAGCCTAAATCATGATTAATGCTAACCTAATCATGCTAATACTTTAGGAGAAAAGACATCATAAAAATATGAATTCTACACACAATCTAATAATAATTTATATCAATGATATTATCAAAATAAAAATATAAATAATTTGAAAACATTTTACTTTATCGTCTATGTTTAATTTCTATACAATAAACAAAAATTAATGATGCCAATATAGGCAAGGCAAGAAAACTAGCAATATGTGTTTGTACATACTTTCTAATATAGAATTAATATGACCAGATCTAACACCTCTTATGGCTATAAGGAATATCTACTTTAATTATTTAGTTTCTTATTTTACATAAAAAATCTAAATCAAAACCAAGTGAAGATTAAAGAAAAACAAATATTTAAACAAAAAAATATAAATTAAAGGGAATGAATAGGTTCAAATTGTCAATTATGAACCTATACCATGACCCATATAAAATTCCTAGAAATGGATTCATAAAGAACCTATTAACTTTCATGCTCCATCGAGTTCATCTGATCAAGTATTAACCCTTTCGATCCCAATCCGACCTAAACGATGAATTAGGTTAAACCTGGGTCACTCAGAAGTTCAGTTTCAGGTCAACCAGTGATTCCAATATCTTCTTCTTAACCTGCATATTCTTTACATTATTATCTGCTAATATCTAATATTTTATTGTTATCTATCTGAAAAGGTAAGGAAAGACCAAGGTCTAAAGCCTTCAGTCCACTTAGATTCCTAATTGGAGAACAAATATTACAATTAGTATGCTTTGCAGATCTGAGGAAAATAACCTTTCAAAGACAATAAGCCCATGAGCCCTGATCTTATTGAGCATATACGTTATTGAGTTGGAGTGTGGATCAAGATTCAAAATACAAGAAAAAGAACAATGAACAAGTAGCACAGTCAACTGCATACAAATGACAGCCTCAACTATAGAAGAGCATTCACAACCCATCAGACATGCATGAAACAAGATGGATCACTATATTAAAGGAAAAGGATCAATAGGACAGAGATGGGTAGGTGAGACATACGAAATTACAGTAGAATCAAGGTTCCCATATTTTCCTTGGAAATAACGAGTTTGGAACGAGTAAAAGCTACCCCAACCTTCAAGTCAATCTCTTGGCGTGCATCTACAAGCTAAAGCTTCATCTTTGCTGGGTTCAACAAGATTGTCCATGGCCTTCAATATGTCTTTCTCAGTAACCGATGAAATCGAGCACGATAAATTCTTCTTCCCGATTCAGATGCAGGGAACCCAGTACATTCAATAACTGGATAATGAAAGACAATATTCAGTCCTGGTCAGTCATTAGTCATTGCATCAGTTGTAATGCATAGAAAACTTAGACGATGAAGAGTCGATCGCCTTTTCTAACATAAAACCATTTATAGCAGTAATACTTTTTGTTGTGCTGCGTTATAATGTCTTTGGGTTCATGGAAAGCTCAAACACATAAATAGCATCTGTAACTGATGAACTGATAATTAGGATCTGTCATGAACAAAATAATTAATCGGCCAAACTGAGAGGAATCTCCCATCAAAGCAAATGTGATCTGAAAGAGAAAAAAAGATGTAATTGTTATTACATTCAATAAGTTTTAAACACGCATGAATCAGTGTCATTGAAGTTTGTCATATTAGCTGCGAGAACAATGCAGCTATGATATCTGCTGTCCGAAAAATCACCTCTAAGATAAATATCTAACTAGAATTCTATGAACAAAATAAGGGTAAAATTATTTCAGAATCCCAATTTCTTCCCTTGAAGTTTATTGCTATGGAAACTACAGTACCAGAACATACTCCAAATAATTTACAATTCTAATCTTTTCACCTCTGATTTAGCTAGTACAGTACACATTAACAATTAAATATAAAATATATTATTTAGATTTGAAGAACGGAGTACCTTCATAACAGATATTTTCACCTTCTCTATCACAGTCTAACCACAGTACAAGAGAGGCACAACCTCGCGCTTCTTGAGACAAATGACGACGAATATGAGCCTTGAAATGATGTTAAGAAATGGAGTAAATTTTCTCGGAGAAAAAAATTTATATGAGACAGTGGATTAGGTGAATAAGATAACAGAAAACAATTATGCAAAAGAAGGTATAGACAAAGGTAACAAGTATTGCTACATGTGCAGGTCATGGGACAATTGGCACATATAAATATTGATAAAAAAGAATAAAGGCCTCACTCTACAGTTGTAATAAAGGAATTTGATAATACACAATTAGAATGGTGTGTTGTGTGGCTGTTTTCTGAGAGAAAAACCACCACAATTAAATTCAATATTAGGACATTCAACCCCATATCAGTTAAACTTCATCATTATTTGTGCAGTTTTAAATATCAGCACAGCTTCTACATGGTTATTAAAATTCATACCGTGTATTTTTGCATAATAATTTTTAATATCTCGCTAAATAAATGAGTAAATCAGATATACACTCACAAACGTTTAAAACACAAACCAGTATTTTTTTTCCACACTAGGGTCAGATAAGATCAAAGACTGTATAGAAGATTTCCATATTTTATAATTAATGTGTTCACATATAATGTGGTGCCAAGCTCCTGATTAAAGGAAATAACCCACAAGATGGGGCTTGTAGCAAACCCCGAAGACCAGCTGATGATAGGTAAAGTTGCACTGGTCATGCAGTTCGCTTATAAAAGAAGACAACATGCCAAAATGTAACAAGAATAGCTTATTGAAAAAGAATAAACGATCTAACTTTAATAAGAATTTGCACTTGATTTTAAGGCAGAACATCAAACTAGATTGCCAGATATCATGTTAAAAAACTTGAATTGGAAGTGTAAATTATACCTTTGGGTTTGATTCGGATTTGAATACTGGTGCGCGGAAAAGATCCATAGGATCAATTACTTCCCAGTTCTGGTAAGCGGGCGGAAAGTCTAAACTGAAATGAGCAGAATGGAACAGGTTAAGAAATTTGCATGAACAATCTCATGTGAAGGACAAACTTAAACTAAAATTAGGTGGTAATTACCAAATCCCAAATAAATCATTAATTTACACAAGATGCAGTTATTCAGCAGCATACAATGATAACCTGGTTGATAAATTGTACATTTTTCACTTACCATAGTTGAATAACTAAGAACAAGTTCCCTTTGACGTTTAATCTCAGTTAAATTCAAAGAATCTCATGCTTAAGTGTTCCAATACTATGCC